AGTCTTTACTTATTACTCATTCATTCTCATCTTTTCTGGCTTAACTCACATGTCACCTCCTCAGAGAGGTCTCCCCAACCACACTACCTAAAGTTGGATTCCCTCAATAAATTAACCCATACAGGACTCTTCAACAAAGAGATTAACAAGAACAATACAAAAAACAAAAAGCAAGTTTATTAACACGTAGAACTTATGTATACATGGGAGATATCCAGGGAAAAATGGATAACTCTCCCATGTGGCTTAGAATTTAGGCTTAAATACCATCTGAGTAGGCTTTCCTGCTGGCGCAGTGGTTAAGAATCTGCCTGCCAATGCAGGGAACATGGGTTCAAGCCCTGGTCGGGGAAGATGCCACATGTTGTGGAGAAACTAAGCCCGCGAGCCACAACTACTGAGCCTACGTGCCACAGCTACTGAAGCCCACACGCCTAGAGCCTGTGCTCTGCAACAAGAGAAGCCACTGCAATGAGAAGCCCGTGCACCGCAACGAAGAGTAGCCCCCACTCGCCGCAACTAGAGAAAGTCTGCGCACAGCAACGAACACCCAACACAGCCAAAAATAAAATAAATAAAAAATTTTTTTAAAGTACCATCTGAGTAGAGAAAGGGGGAGGGGAATGTAGGCCTCTTAGGGGAGAGTAAATAATTTCTAGGAAAGATGAATGTGCCCTTAGAAGAATGAATGGGAGGTATGATAGTTTATGACAAAAGTGGCCTGGATATGATATAGAATTCTAATTTCCTCTCCTGTGATATGAGATGAAACTCCCAGGAAGGGGATTTATAACCATTGAGTGCCTTTTGGAGGCTCTGTCTTTAGGCAGTTAAGGGGAGTTCAGAGAAAGCCTCTCCCTGCATTTGCTGTTTTTCAAGTGCCTACAGCTCAAAATAATCAATATGCCAGAGTGGCATATTTTGGGGTGGCATATTCTGTTACCATAACTGGCTCCTCCCCTTGGGAGGTTAACAAGGCTCCTGAGTCCTCGTCTGGGAGCCACGGCATCAGGACGATATCCTCCTGATGCTGTAACTGGAGGGGCTGGCAGCCTGTTCTGCCTCTTCCCTCAGTGTAACACATGCTGCCACTAAGGGATCTTATGCACCTGCCACATACCAGGCATGGGGCTAAGCATTTATCTTCTGGACTGCTCACAGTAACCTTATGATGTGGATGTGAATATTATCCCCATTTCACAGATGAGGAAACCAAGGCTCATGGGGCTAAGCCTCTTACCCAAGGTCATATGCAGCTACCAAGGGGCAGAGGCAAGATCTGAACCCAAGATGTCTGACTCCACTATTCATCATTGCCTGACTTTTTCTTTTTTTTTGGCTGCATGGTATGTGGGATCTTAGTTCCCCAACCAGGGATCGAATCCGTGCCCCCTGCAGTGGAAGCACAGAGCCCTGGACTGCCAGGACTGCCAGGAAATTCCCCTGCTTGAGTTTTCTCAGAGCCATAGTTCTCTGACTATGAGCCAAGCATCTGACCTCCTATACCACTCCATGTCTCCCTGTCCCTCTTACTAGTGCCCTTTCTCCTCCCCCACAAGACTCTCACAACCCCTGCCCAAGCTGAGTTTTTTCTGACCTCTCTGGGTCTCCATCCCCCAGAGGATGCTCTCAGGCCCGCTGCTAGTTGAGCACGTATCCCACACTCCTTGCCCCTTGGCAGCTCAGAGTCAGAATCTATTGACAGTATCAGGTCACAGAGGTCAAGGGAGTCTTTCAAGAATGAAAGATACCAAGTAAGGTTAGGACTCAGGAGGGGCCTACTGGATTCAGCAATAAGGAGATCTCAGGTGTCCTTGGTGGTGGCAGAGGTGGAAGTAAAAGAGCTGGACCAAAAAGAAGAGAGATGCTAATAGCTTCAGTAGCATTTCATGCTTACCAAGCGCTTTATAAATATTAATTCATTTAATAGTCACAACAACTCTGGGAGATAGTTACTATCATTCGGTTTCCCCAAGGGGAAATTAAGGACAGAGAGGTTAAACAGTTTGCTCAAGGTCAAGGTCAAAAAGGTAGTTCACAGTGAAGTCCGGATTTAAAAATCTGGGCGGTCTGGCTCCAGACTCCATGCTGTAAACTGCCAAGTCATATATACAGCTCTTGGCTGTGGGGAGGGGAGTGGGCATTGGTGGTTAGGACTGGAAGAGAAGGAGAGGCAAGAGCTAGAGGAGGATAAAGAAGGGTGGGGAAAATGATTTATAGGTGGAGTGGTTCCCTCTCCTGGACCATAAACCAAAGGGACCTGACAGCAGCTGGGAAGGGAGATAAAGTGACCGAGGAAGGAGGGGCTGGGTGGGGCCTGGGGACTGCTCCCTCCTGGGGCAAGCCTTCAGGTTCTGTACCTTTACCCACAGCTCTGTGGGAAATTCACAGCCCAGTGATCCAGAGAGTTGGTAACAGGCAGATGTGAGGGGGCCTCACATGGGGATGGGGGCTGAGGACTGGAATGCAGCCAGCTGGGCTGCCCTCAGGGAGCACTGTCAGAGAGAAGCTACCAGGACTTCAGGGCCTGAGCTCCCACAGTCCCAGGGCCTGGCTTCCCAGGTACCAGAGACTCTTTAAGTGGTAAGCAGCCCAGAATGCTCTAGAAAAGTCACAGATCAGAGCTTGGGAAGGGGCTGCATGGCCAAGATAGCTGAGGCCCCAGAGCTGGTATCTTGCCCTTCCCAGGTCAGGTCCTGGGTGTTCCAGACCTCCAGGACACACACATGGAGTCCTGTTCTTTCCACATATGGACACCTCACCTGGGCCCTGGAAGGAGAACATAACTTGTCAGGCCATGAGTTGGCTTCCAGACCTTGCTCATCCAGGGAGTTTCTTATAAAAATTGGGGAGGGGGACCCCTCAGGTTAAAAGATACATGCACCCCAATGTTCATTGCAGCCCTATTTACAACAGCCAAGACATGGAAGCAATGTCCATTGACAGAGGAATGGATGAAGAAGATGTATTACATACATAAATGGAATATTACTCAGCCATAAAAAAGAATGAAATAATGCCAATTGCAGCAACATGGATAGACCTAGAGATTGTCATACTGAGTGAAGTCAGACACAGAAAGACAAATATCATATGATATCACTTATATGTGGAATCTAAAAAAAGGGTACGAATGAACTTAGTTACAAAACAGAAGTAGAGTCACAGATGTAGAAAACCAAGGGGATGGGGGGGGTAAAATTGGGAGCTTGGGATTGACATAGACACACTACTATATATAAAATAGATAATTAATAAAAGCCTACTGTATAACACAGGGAACTCCTCAATTCTCTGTAATGGCCTATATGGGAAAAGAATCTAAAAAAGAGTGGATATATGTATAACTGATTCACTTTGCTGTACAGCAAAAAATAACACAATATTGTAAATCAACTATACTCCAATAAAAATTTTAAAAATAGAATAAAAAGAAAGGAAAGAAAGAGAAAAGAAAAGAAAAGCCTGCCTGGGTTCAAGTCCTCCCCAGCTTTACTGAGATGAATCAGATGCAATCCTGTCCTCAAGGGTTTCATGGGCTGGAGGGGAGATCTCTCTGTAGATGGATTATAGGCCAGTATGATTAACCGATGCAAGGACGGACCTCAAAGGAGCAGTGAAAAGGAGTGAGGCCAGAGTCTGGTGATGGCAGGTGGAAGTGGGGGGCATCTCAGAGGCCTTATACCCAGATTAAAAGCCAGGACCTGGCACTGTTTGGCTCGGGGACAGGCAGGACAGGCATCAGAGGAAAGGTCTCTGACTCTCAGTCTGCAGGATTGCCTGGTTCTGGGATGCAAACAGTGGATGGACCAGTAGGTGGAAACCAAAGGGAAAAGACTTGGCTTTTCATGGTAACAGCCGTCCAGGATAAATGCCTGCATGCTCCAGGCTCCAGGCATTGTTTCTCTGAATATTACCAACTGCCCTGTGAGGAAGGAGTTATTGATCCTGTTTTGCAAAGGAGGAAACTGAGGTTCAGAGAAATTAGGTATCTTGGACAAGGTTACAGAGAAGCTAGAATTCAAACTCAGGTTTGTCTCTCAAGCTTGTGCTCCTAACCACCTCTCCATGCTTCCTCTCTTCAGAAAACACTTGCATTGAGAACCAGCTCACAGTGTGGTGGAAGGAGCTTCCCAGGACAGGTCAGAGGTGTGATGTAGTGGTGTTTGGCACAGTGCCTGTCACTTAGTCAGTGCTCTGTGATCAGCAGCTGTTATAACACTTAATCATGCATCTGTCTTCTCACCTGGAGCTGGGACAGTAATTCCTGTCACCCTGGCTTCAAGGACATGGTGTGAACTGTGGGGTCAATGATGATGGCATTTATGGCACTCAAAAGCCAGCCCAGCCCTGCAGGCATAGGGAGACACATCCAGTTCCCAGCACCAGGGAAAGCTGGGTGACAGCCTCAATCCATCAATGATAACCTCAGTCCAGCCAAACTTTATGGGCCCAGGAGGTACTTAAGTGCTGTGGGGTGAAGGCTAGCCCAGTTCCCCTTCCTCAGCACAGGCTGCTGTCCAGAGCAGGTAAGTAGACATGGGGTGCGGGTGAGAGCGCCCTGGGCCTTGAGAGACCAGCTATCAGCTTCGAGAGCAAGACTCCAAGGTGCATGGGTCTGGGCTAGAGTTGGATCTCCTGTCCTCAGCAGTTCAGGACCCGGTTACTCCTAGCCCTGCATGTGGAAGAGGAGCTTGGGGAAGCTTCATGCATGAGAGGGTGTAGACCTCAGCTCCCCCCTTGCCCTACCTCATCCTGGTTTTACCCACACACCACTGGGTTCTAGGGGGTGGGGTGTGCTCTGTCTGCTCTGCAGCTTCCTCCCCCTTGTCTACTGACACAGGGTGAAGGCTGGGGTGGGGGGTGACCAGAGTTGAAGGAAGGTTGCCTGGGGATCTAAGGTGGGTGATGAGAAGGCAAGCTAAGGAGAAGGTTTGCTGGGGTAGAAGGACAGCTCTGCGAGCAGCTCTTGTAACCTTCTGCCCCAGGCCCCCAGCACCATGACGGTTTCATACACCCTCAAAGTAGCGGAGGCCCGCTTCGGAGGCTTCTCTGGCCTGCTTCTCCGCTGGAGGGGAAGCATCTACAAGCTCCTCTACAAGGAGTTCCTCCTATTCATCGCCCTGTATGCTCTGCTCAGCATCACCTACCGGTGCGAGGGTGAGGGCAGGGTCTCAGGGCTGGCCTGCGGGTGACTAGGCTGCCTACCTCCCTCTAACCCAGGTCTCACCTGACATTCCCCAGGCTGTTGCTGACCCAGGAACAGAGGCATGTGTATGCTCAGGTGGCCCGATACTGCAACCGCTCTGCAGACCTCATCCCCTTGTCCTTTGTACTAGGTAAGTTCAAAGAACCAGGGGTTCTCCCTTGTAGCCTCCTAACCATCTTTCCTTACCTTTGGGTTGGGTTGCTAGCTCTGAGGGTCAGAATTACCCCAGTGGAACCGCTTGGTGGGCAACCAGAGCAGGCTCAGCAGGCATGGGAGCTGTGTGCGGGGTCCAGGATTTCCAGAGGACTAGGCCCTGCCTATCACATGCTGGACCCTCACTCCAAACAAGGCCCAAGCCACCTGCTGGCTTCACAACCCTCTGGGTACTGGAGGAGAACTGGAGAGAGGTGACACCTCCCTCCCGAGCCCTATGTGAAGCCGGGCTCAGAGTTAACCATTGCCTGGACTTGAACCATCACTTCTCTTCTGCTTGAGGAGGTTTGCACTCTCCTTCCTCCCTGCCTGGGTTGGTACATCAGGGAGGGACCAAGAGGAAGAGGCTGTCCCCCCGACAGAGAGGCAGGGTGCTGGAGCCAATGTGTTCTTCCCCCTGCCTTGGTTCCACCTGGCCTGGACCACACGCTCTGGGTGGAGACCTCCATCTTGCCTTCCTGTATCCCCTACCCATGACGGTGACCAGGTTTCTACGTGACCTTGGTGGTGAACCGCTGGTGGGCCCAGTACACAAGCATCCCACTGCCGGACCAGCTGATGTGCGTCATCTCGGCCAGCGTGCACGGCGTGGACCAGCGCGGCCGCCTGCTGCGCCGCACCCTCATCCGCTACGCCAACCTGGCGTCGGTACTGGTGCTGCGCTCGGTCAGCACCCGCGTGCTCAAGCGCTTCCCCACCATGGAGCACGTGGTGGACGCAGGTGCCGCGCTGGGGGAGCCCTGGAGCGGGCGGGACCGGACCTGCCTCGCGGGCCTCCTGGGAGGGGAAGTTTTACCACTAGGGGGAGCTCCAAGGCGGTGAGTCCCCAGGGACAAGGATGAGTGAGTCTTCATCCCTCTCACTTCATCCCTGCAGGTTTCATGTCCCAGGAAGAGAGGAAAAAGGCTTTGCTTTGCTGTACAGCAAAAAATAACACAATATTGTAAATCAACTATACTCCAATAAAAATTTTAAAAATAGAATAAAAAGAAAGAAAGAGAATATATGGGAAAAGAATCTAAAAAAGAGTGGATATATGTATAACTGATTCACTTTGCTGTACAGCAAAAAATAACACAATATTGTAAATCAACTATACTCCAATAAAAATTTTAAAAATAGAATAAAAAGAAAGGAAAGAAAGAGAAAAGAAAAGAAAAGCCTGCCTGGGTTCAAGTCCTCCCCAGCTTTACTGAGATGAATCAGATGCAATCCTGTCCTCAAGGGTTTCATGGGCTGGAGGGGAGATCTCTCTGTAGATGGATTATAGGCCAGTATGATTAACCGATGCAAGGACGGACCTCAAAGGAGCAGTGAAAAGGAGTGAGGCCAGAGTCTGGTGATGGCAGGTGGAAGTGGGGGGCATCTCAGAGGCCTTATACCCAGATTAAAAGCCAGGACCTGGCACTGTTTGGCTCGGGGACAGGCAGGACAGGCATCAGAGGAAAGGTCTCTGACTCTCAGTCTGCAGGATTGCCTGGTTCTGGGATGCAAACAGTGGATGGACCAGTAGGTGGAAACCAAAGGGAAAAGACTTGGCTTTTCATGGTAACAGCCGTCCAGGATAAATGCCTGCATGCTCCAGGCTCCAGGCATTGTTTCTCTGAATATTACCAACTGCCCTGTGAGGAAGGAGTTATTGATCCTGTTTTGCAAAGGAGGAAACTGAGGTTCAGAGAAATTAGGTATCTTGGACAAGGTTACAGAGAAGCTAGAATTCAAACTCAGGTTTGTCTCTCAAGCTTGTGCTCCTAACCACCTCTCCATGCTTCCTCTCTTCAGAAAACACTTGCATTGAGAACCAGCTCACAGTGTGGTGGAAGGAGCTTCCCAGGACAGGTCAGAGGTGTGATGTAGTGGTGTTTGGCACAGTGCCTGTCACTTAGTCAGTGCTCTGTGATCAGCAGCTGTTATAACACTTAATCATGCATCTGTCTTCTCACCTGGAGCTGGGACAGTAATTCCTGTCACCCTGGCTTCAAGGACATGGTGTGAACTGTGGGGTCAATGATGATGGCATTTATGGCACTCAAAAGCCAGCCCAGCCCTGCAGGCATAGGGAGACACATCCAGTTCCCAGCACCAGGGAAAGCTGGGTGACAGCCTCAATCCATCAATGATAACCTCAGTCCAGCCAAACTTTATGGGCCCAGGAGGTACTTAAGTGCTGTGGGGTGAAGGCTAGCCCAGTTCCCCTTCCTCAGCACAGGCTGCTGTCCAGAGCAGGTAAGTAGACATGGGGTGCGGGTGAGAGCGCCCTGGGCCTTGAGAGACCAGCTATCAGCTTCGAGAGCAAGACTCCAAGGTGCATGGGTCTGGGCTAGAGTTGGATCTCCTGTCCTCAGCAGTTCAGGACCCGGTTACTCCTAGCCCTGCATGTGGAAGAGGAGCTTGGGGAAGCTTCATGCATGAGAGGGTGTAGACCTCAGCTCCCCCCTTGCCCTACCTCATCCTGGTTTTACCCACACACCACTGGGTTCTAGGGGGTGGGGTGTGCTCTGTCTGCTCTGCAGCTTCCTCCCCCTTGTCTACTGACACAGGGTGAAGGCTGGGGTGGGGGGTGACCAGAGTTGAAGGAAGGTTGCCTGGGGATCTAAGGTGGGTGATGAGAAGGCAAGCTAAGGAGAAGGTTTGCTGGGGTAGAAGGACAGCTCTGCGAGCAGCTCTTGTAACCTTCTGCCCCAGGCCCCCAGCACCATGACGGTTTCATACACCCTCAAAGTAGCGGAGGCCCGCTTCGGAGGCTTCTCTGGCCTGCTTCTCCGCTGGAGGGGAAGCATCTACAAGCTCCTCTACAAGGAGTTCCTCCTATTCATCGCCCTGTATGCTCTGCTCAGCATCACCTACCGGTGCGAGGGTGAGGGCAGGGTCTCAGGGCTGGCCTGCGGGTGACTAGGCTGCCTACCTCCCTCTAACCCAGGTCTCACCTGACATTCCCCAGGCTGTTGCTGACCCAGGAACAGAGGCATGTGTATGCTCAGGTGGCCCGATACTGCAACCGCTCTGCAGACCTCATCCCCTTGTCCTTTGTACTAGGTAAGTTCAAAGAACCAGGGGTTCTCCCTTGTAGCCTCCTAACCATCTTTCCTTACCTTTGGGTTGGGTTGCTAGCTCTGAGGGTCAGAATTACCCCAGTGGAACCGCTTGGTGGGCAACCAGAGCAGGCTCAGCAGGCATGGGAGCTGTGTGCGGGGTCCAGGATTTCCAGAGGACTAGGCCCTGCCTATCACATGCTGGACCCTCACTCCAAACAAGGCCCAAGCCACCTGCTGGCTTCACAACCCTCTGGGTACTGGAGGAGAACTGGAGAGAGGTGACACCTCCCTCCCGAGCCCTATGTGAAGCCGGGCTCAGAGTTAACCATTGCCTGGACTTGAACCATCACTTCTCTTCTGCTTGAGGAGGTTTGCACTCTCCTTCCTCCCTGCCTGGGTTGGTACATCAGGGAGGGACCAAGAGGAAGAGGCTGTCCCCCCGACAGAGAGGCAGGGTGCTGGAGCCAATGTGTTCTTCCCCCTGCCTTGGTTCCACCTGGCCTGGACCACACGCTCTGGGTGGAGACCTCCATCTTGCCTTCCTGTATCCCCTACCCATGACGGTGACCAGGTTTCTACGTGACCTTGGTGGTGAACCGCTGGTGGGCCCAGTACACAAGCATCCCACTGCCGGACCAGCTGATGTGCGTCATCTCGGCCAGCGTGCACGGCGTGGACCAGCGCGGCCGCCTGCTGCGCCGCACCCTCATCCGCTACGCCAACCTGGCGTCGGTACTGGTGCTGCGCTCGGTCAGCACCCGCGTGCTCAAGCGCTTCCCCACCATGGAGCACGTGGTGGACGCAGGTGCCGCGCTGGGGGAGCCCTGGAGCGGGCGGGACCGGACCTGCCTCGCGGGCCTCCTGGGAGGGGAAGTTTTACCACTAGGGGGAGCTCCAAGGCGGTGAGTCCCCAGGGACAAGGATGAGTGAGTCTTCATCCCTCTCACTTCATCCCTGCAGGTTTCATGTCCCAGGAAGAGAGGAAAAAGTTTGAGAGCCTGAAATCTGACTTCAATAAGTACTGGATCCCCTGCGTCTGGTTCACCAACCTGGCGGCCCAGGCCCGGAAGGATGGGCGAATCCGTGATGACATTGCTCTCTGCCTGCTACTGGAAGTGAGTCAGCCTAGGACCAGGCCCATCTGCCCTCCTCCCCCTAGTTTTGCAAACTGGAATAATAATTTTAGTGCTTAACACTTACATGGTGCCAGTTATGTACAGCACACTTTTGCAAGTGTGAGGAAGTGAGGAAACTGAGGCACAGAGTGAAAAGAAACTTGCTCAAGTCACACAGCTAGTTAGTGGAGCTGGGAATCATCCTCAGACCTGGCTCCAGGCTCTGTCCTTGCAGTTACTTTGCTAAACTGCTTTCCATCACAGTCACCCCAGCCTGACAACACCTCTGAAAGCAGAATGAGCCTCTAGACCTGGCCCAGGCCTAACGTGTGCTGGGCTCCCCTGTCCCCTCCCCATTCTTCCTTCCTCGCCTCCACTGACTTCCTCTTCCTGCTGTTCCACCAGGAGCTGAACAAGTACCGGGCCAAGTGCAGCATGCTGTTCCACTATGACTGGATCAGCATCCCCCTCGTCTACACCCAAGTAACTGCCTCTCACCTCCCCAGTCCCAGTGCCTACTGTATGTCCTGTGCTGTGTGTGACACTGAGAATTAGAAATGGTACCTGCCCTGGGGCAGTTTGGTCCAGTGAGACACTCAACAGCCACAGGCTCATCTTCAAAGCCTCCCTGGACCCCCCACTAAGATGATCCCCTCCTATCTGGTGCTGCCAAACCTTGCTATGTTTTATTATACTTATTAGATCTGCCACTGGCCCTCGGGGCAGGGGTGGCATTTCTCCCTGCCCCACTTAGCCTGGCTTCCCTTTCTCCAGGTGGTGACCATAGCAGTATACTCCTTCTTTGCCCTCTCCCTGGTTGGCCGCCAGTTTGTGGAGTCAGACGCAGGGGCTGCGAAACCTCAGAAGCCTCTGGAGCCAGGGCCAGCCCTGGGGGACCTGGACATGTACGTGCCTCTCACCACTCTGCTGCAGTTCTTCTTCTATGCTGGCTGGCTCAAGGTGGGCACTTCAGGTGGTCAAGACGTGGGCCCAGGGCCCACCCCAACTCTGGGGTTAGAAAATAGGGCTCTAAGCCCAGAAAACACTCCATCACCTGCAGGTGGCAGAACAGATCATCAATCCCTTTGGTGAGGATGACGACGACTTTGAAACCAACAAGCTTATAGACCGCAACTTGCAGGTGATTAGGGGTCTGGTGGCAGCTCACTGGCAGTCAGGCTCTCCCTCCCTGCTAGCTCTCAGCCCAGGTATGCAGGAGAGGGGAATCCTTGTGACCCGCTGCCCGCCCCAGGTGTCCCTGCTCTCCGTGGATGACATGTACCAGAACCTGCCTCCTGCTGAGAAGGACCCATATTGGGATGAGGACTCGGCGCAGCCACCCTACACTGTGGCCACTGTGGCCGAGTCGCTGCGGCCTTCCTTCCTGGGTTCCACCTTCAATCTGCGGTGAGTGGCCCACGCAGGCCGAGGCAGGACCTGAGTCAGCACGTGGGCCCCAGTTCCCCACCCACCCTCCAGGGTGCCCAGGACTCGGTCCCTCCTGCCCCGGGCCCCACTCTGGGGAGCCAGTCCCCCAGCTGCCAGAGGCTCACTCACACTGCCCTCCCACCCACCTGCAGCATTAGCGATGACCCTGAGCAGAGCCTGAAGGTGGAGGCATCCCCTGGGCCAGCCCGGCCGGTGACTGCCGCGCAGACCCCGCTGCTCAGCCGCTTCCTGGGCGTAGGAGCGCCCTCGCCAGCCATCAGCCTCCACTTCAGCCGCATCCGAGGAGCTCCCCGAACCCCTCACCTGCTGCGCTTCCGGGCCGAGGAGGGTGGTGACCTCGAGGCCGCGGACCGCATCGAGGAGGAGGTGTCGGGGTCAGGGGACGAGCCTCAGGAGCCCTAAGCAGAGGCAGTGGGGCCGGGCCGTCCGGCTGCCTCCCCTAGGCCCTCCTAAGGCCCTCCGGAGCTATTAGAGCAGCACTTCCATGCACCCTAAGCCGGAGCACTTAGGGACGACCCTTGCGAGGGCAGAAGAGCCTGAACCAGAGTTAGGAATGCATCCACTTTGGCTTGGGGGAGGTGAAGCTAGGACACAAGAGGTGAGGTATAGAGGACTAGAGCCCAGGGGCACGATTAATTTCCTCGCAATGCGGGGCTAGGCCGGTTCTTGAGGGAGCATCAATATCACTGAAGGGCTGGTTAAAGTTTTGGGTACGACTCCCAGCGTTTGATTCATTAAATCTGGGATGGGGTCAAGAATTTGCATTTCTAATAAGTTCCCAGGGAATGCTGCTGCTGCCCCAGGGATCACAATTTGAGTCATACATAAAAAGATGTTTAGGATATTCCTTATTGTGATAACCTCACTCTGGTGAGGGGTCAAAGTGTGTGCTGGACTACTTTTGCTTCATCTGTCATATTCAATTTTTTGTTTACAATGAAAATATATTCATTTATTATTGTGCAATTAAAATTGCTTAAAACTGAATTGGCATGCTCTGCCAATGGACTAAAGAAAAGATGAGGGTTTGAGAATCTGCCCTGAAGCTGATTCAACTGAGACGTGAGAGTAGTCATACACCACCCAGCCTACACTTCCAGCATCTGAACCAAGCCCTTCCCTGCTCCCACCAACCAAACAGGGAAAAAGGACAGTTTAAGGGGTGAATGCTGCAGGTCCATCCATCTCTGCGGGAGGGCCACAGCACTCAGCTGATGGTAATGAGGGGGCATTGTGGAAAACAGCCCCACAGAGCACTATATTAGAGTTGCTGCTAAACTGAGTTTCTCTAAGATTCCTGCCTTCTAAGCTCAGCCACCACTAAAGAAATTGGCGAATGCCAAAACTGAACATTAAGGCCAAAGGAAGACAAATGCCAGAATTCAAAGGAAGGGAGGCATGAAGAGTATAGGTAGAGGTTGTGAGGACACGCAGCCGCCTGTCGACTGACAGGATTAGTGCTGGCTTCTACTTTCCTGCTGGGTGACAGGGGATACTGAATTTTTCTCAGCCTTGGTCGACAAATCTATACTGTGAAGACAAAGCACCTTGTGGTCACCATTCACTCAGAAGGAACCTGAGGTGTTTTGCTGGGTCTACAGAGGAGGTAGCCTTGCTCCAGCGTAAGAATGGTCATCTATGAGGGTAGTGGAGATGGATAGTTGATGAATTCAAGGCTTTTTAGAAAAAGAACCGCTTATCCTATGGACTAACTAGAGGGTGAAGGAACGGAGGAATAAACATCAATGCCTTGTAGAGCTCAAATTAGAAGATGAATGCAAAGTGCTGCTGTGCCATATGCCCAACACACAGCTCAGCAAACGTCAGCTAATGTTCAGGTGGTAAGGGAAGATCACTGGGTGGGAAGGCCAAGGCCAGGTCTCCCCAGAGCCAATGGTAAGGTTTTAGAGGACTGGACTGACTTTTTGTCCTTAAGTTTTTGTACTAGAAAAGGGGGTTCACCTTTCCCAAACGTCTGTTCACACAACTCTGCCATTTAGCCAAGGTGATGGACCAATTAGATTTTGTACTTCTTCAGCTCTTAAGACATGTGCTTTCCAACAACTTTAAATTGGATAAAACCTTTTTTCTTTAGAACTCATTAACTTAAGCACATATTTGAGTGCCTGTTATATTGCTCTGTACCTTTCCAGGTACGGGAGATGCCACAGGAAACATATCCCTGTTCCTCTGGAGATATAATCTAATAGAGGGCAAAAAAAGACAAGCAAATAAAATGAGCAAAATTTATGCCAAATTAAGAGATAAGGAGAAAACAGGGGCAAAGGATATGGCATGGAGGGGAGTACAATTAAAAATCCTGTGATCAGGGAAGAACTCACTAGACTAACAAAAAAGACCTGGAAGGAATAAGCAATGTGGGTATATGATGGAAAGTATTCCCAACACAGGGAATAGTAAGTGAACATATGTTCAGTAAGGCCAGGATGGCAGTCACTATAGAAGGGACCACGTCCCACTGAGTTCCATACCATGTGGTAGGAATTTTGAGATGGGATGTCCTGTAAAAAAAAATCTTATCTTGGGCTTCCCTGGTGGCGCAGTGATTGAGAGTCCGCCCGCCGATGCAGGGGACACGGGTTCATGCCCCGGTCCAGGAAGATCCCACATGCCGTGGAGCGGCTGGGCCCGTGAGCCATGGCCGCTGAGCCTGCGCGTCCGGAGCCTGTGCTCCGTAACGGGAGAGGCCACAACAGTGAGAGGCCCGCGTACCAAAAAAAAAAAAAAATCTTATCTTTTAAAATGATCACTGATAGCTGGGATTGCGTTGGGGACAACAGAAGAGCAAGTAGGATGCAGAGATGTGACCAGAACAGTAGAGGTGGTGTTAAAGGTTGAAGCAACAAGATGTGGCGACATCAGATGTGGGAGTTATGACCCAAGGATGCCCTTAAGATTTATGTTGTCATATGAAGACCACTATTTGCTGCAATCAAATAATTGAGAAACTGTTTGAAAAGGGAAAGCTTAAGAATGTGACCTTTTAGAGTCCGAATATGATATCCAATTGCAGGTGTCAAGTAGGTCTGGGCTAGTTAGAAAGATGGAGCTTACACCACCTTTAAAAGTTGATGACAGACAACAATGTAGCTAAACTGAAGACAAGAGTTGACCCTTAGAGATTCAGCAGCCATCACTGGTAATATTACACACTTTTGAGTAATGAGAAGGGAAAGGATTAGGGTTCAAAGGAAAATTAACTTAAGACATCCAAAAGCTGACAGGATACAGATTATGTAAATAACCTGTTCAACAATGCAGAAATCTGGAACACAATTTCAAGGTTTCTAGACCATCCATGAACCTGAAATAAACCCCTAAAACCAAGGTCTGCACACAGGGTCTCTAAGAGAACCTTAGAGAAGCAGCATGGTTTCAGGTTCCAATCATGGTCCAGTTAACAGCCCAATACTGTTGGGGGCCCCATGCTGGGATGCCTCCCTCATACAGTCTCTCCTCAGCCTGCATGCCACATCCCTGATGCCACTGAAACCCAGCCTTAGGGGTGAGAAATGTTCCTCCTGCTATAGAAAGGCATATAATAGGCCTGGGCAAACGGAGGAAGGCAAAGAGAGTTGGGGTACCCTACTGTGTGCCAAACAATCAAATATTCTCAGAACGCAAACACAGGGCATAGAACGACAAACACCTTTATAACATGAGCTAAGATAGGAAGGAAGAGGATTTATTTGCCTTTCCGGGCCTTGATTTTTCTCAGATAGAACTCCAGCTCCTTTCCCTCTAGCACATAGCCATCTGCTCGGCCACACTGGCCTGGTCTTGAGGCGATGCAAGCTGCAAGAGAGTATGTGGTCCTTAGCAAAATGACACTGTGGGCCTACCCACACCTACGTATCCCCTTAAGAGTCCATGTTGGTCCAGGTATCCTGGGGGCAGGCATGAAGCCCACTGTCTTCTCAGATATACTTTATCATCACTTAAAGTCAGTAGCAGAACTGGACAAAGTTTTCATCACTGAGACAACCCCCTAAGCCTGGACACAGACTTCTCAGAATACTCCTGAAACTCAGAGGCAAAAACCAAGCTCAGGCCTATGGGCTCCTGCCCACTATTTTCCATTTCAGCTTCAAACTACTGGGATGACCAAATATTCTGATTTGTGCTTGTGTGCTGTTACCAAACTCTCTAGCCCACAGAGGGCACACCATATCTTGGGACCCTCCCCTCCGCCAAATGCAAAAGCCATCTCACCAAGAAGCTTGCCCTGCTGGAACTGCTCCTCTAGAAGACTGCTAATTTTGGCATTCTTTTTCCTTTCATCATATTTCTTCTGAATTTTCTTTGATCGTTTTTTGTTTAAAATCTCTTCCTCCTCAGGAGTCTGAATAAAGGAAACACACACGGGTTAGTGGGGCCTCCCCAAACCCTATCTCAGGGAAGGAACGTCATAGCCTTCAACACTGCATATCCCATGCCCCTGCCACATTCCTCAGCACTAAAGGCTTTCATCTCTCCCTTCAGTAGCAGAACTGAACAGAGTTTTCATCACAAGAAGGCTGGAATCAGGGCAGCCTCCCCTCCCCCCGCAGGAAGTTGGCTCCCCAAACACGCACCAGCTTGGCCCCCTTCTTGCGGCCCAGGGGCAGTGCATAGTGGGACTCGTACCACTGTCGGTACGGTGTGCTGTCAATGAGCACGATGCAGTTCTTCACCAGGGTCTTGGTACGGACCAGTTCATTGTTGGATGCATTGTAGACAACATCAATGATCCTTGTCTTGCGTGTACAACCTGCTCACAGGAGAAATTCAGAATCAAGCCATGTGAAACTAAGGTTAACTGTTCCCCACCCACGCCCCAGTAGGGCCTAAGGAGATGGTAACTCTAAACCTTTACAGAGCCATAGGGCATAAGCTCATCTTCCACAAACCCATCTTTCCAGACGTGGCTGACACCCACACATACATGGTCTCTAGATTCAACCCCAATCCCTGAAGCTACAGGAGTTAAGAGGCAGGACAGGATGGAGAGAAAGCTCCAGAACCTCAAGGTCTTTCAATAGGAGAAACTTCAGTATCTTGGTTCAGGTCATGGACTTCCTGCTAAAAGCACTTATTGAACCTTAGAAAAGGTTTAGGTGCCGAGTTCCCACCCATGCCTGCAGGGCCTCACTCACACTCAGAGCCCCAGGAGAAATTCCCCACATCCAGCCTCAAGGCTCGGTACTTCTTGTTGCCTCCCCGCACACGGACTGTGTGTATGCGGCGAGGGCCAATCTAGAAAACACAAGGAGACAGGTAGTAGGTTATCAAGGAGAAGTTAGAGAGAGGGAAGGGAACCCGGGCTGGACGGAGGTAACAGTCAGTGTAACTATGACAAGTCCTAGCATTGGCAAGTGGCACACAGGTGACCAAGATGGCCACAACCACGCCTAAGGATACTTCTTCATCACTCTAGTTACCTCCAAGAGGAAAAACCTG